GGCCTGCACCTCCTGCTTGCGGGAGGCTGAGTCGGCCGACAGTAGAGCTTCCACTGCACTGGTCACCTGGGGAAAGCAGCAGGTCAGAGACAGTGCCCAGCCCCAGCCCCATGTGCCCCTCTAGCACTTGGTCTTTAGCTTTCTCAGTGCTTGCCCTAACATTTTTGGGAGGGCGGAAAAATGTTCATACCCGATCTCTGACAAACTCAGGCAGTCCCCCCAACCCATCCCGGGCAATCTCCAAGTAATCCGGCAAAATGACAATCTTCACATCCTCATCGTACTCAAACTTGTCGTCGCTGATGTCAAACCCGCCTTCGACACCTGGTGAGACAGGGAAGAATAGTAGGACGACCACAGGTAGATGTTCCTTCCAGAGTTCAAGGCCCACTGATGAGGCTCATTCCTTTGGGGCTTTCCTAGTACTTCTGAGAGCAGGGGAGACCAGCTCCGGGGGAGGAACAGGACCGCAGTGGTGCTCACCAATAGCGAGCCGGGTGGGCTTCTTCCGGGGGGGGTCTCCAGTGCCCGTAGTGGTGTCCTCCTCTTTCTGCAACGAGGCAGGGAGGCAGGGTCAGCAATCAGCACCAGGTCAGGGACAAAGGGGGAGAATGGACGGGATGCAGTGAGTTAATCTCAGAAGAGAATGGAGCTAAAAAACGTGTGCTGGGTTTTCACGACACCAACAGACACAGGTGAGAGGGGAAGTGAGGCCTACAGAAGTCAGAATAGAAAAGATTCAAAATGGGGCCCGGGGGGACATGCCAGGATGTTCCTAGGCCCAGCCCCTACCACGACCAGGCGCCGGGTCCGCCGGAGGTGCAGGTAGACGCGCTGGCCCGTCTTGTTGAAATGTCTCTCCACATATTGCTTCCCGAAACCCAGGAACGTGTTCATGCAAATGTAGAGGCCACCCTCCGACTCCTGCAGGACAAGAAGCAGGGGGGGAAACACCAGGGGGTTAAGCCTGGCCAGGTGGGGAGACGAAGGCCTGGGCTCGAAAACCTCTGGTTTCCAAAGGAAGTTTCTGTTCTCTAACAAGGTGTGGCTCTTGGTAAGTCATTTCCCTGCTTGGTACTTAGTACGTGGCTAAGGTTCTCCCCATCCTTTGATAACAACCAACAAGGACAGCAGGAGCCGAACACCTTTCAGTCACCATTCCTCTTCCTCCTTGCTCCTTCTTTGGAGCCCTCCAATCAACTGCAGAGAACTCCCTCCACCTCTTCTCTGGAGCCAAGAGACCCAGAAAGTAACAGGGGACCAAATACCATAGACTTCCAGTACCAGGAACCACAGTCAGAGGGGAACAGGGTCCTTCCTTGGAAAGACCTGTATGTCAGACACTGAACCTAAACCAAGGACAACATGCCAAACCCCACCTGATCTCCAGGATTAAGAAAGCCTACCAATATGCATAACCCACGGACACAGAGAACAGGGTGGTGAAGGCCTGGGGCGGGGGGCAGGGACAGGCTGGAGGGGGTCAATAGGGGAAAAAGGGGGACATATGTAATACTTTCAACAATAAAGATTTAAAAAGAAAGAAAGACCTACCAGACTGGACAAACAGAGATTCTTCTAGTATATCTAACCCCAGAGCTTGCCAGCAAGACCAGACCTTTCCTCTACCATCCTCTGCTAGGTAGCTGAACCCGGTCCTCAGTGAGTCTCCTCCCTCCTCTCCTGCCGAGGCCTGACTCCAGGGGAACAAGGCCTTGTGTGCAGCGCACAGCTGAACAGGTCCCAGCCTGGCAGGGATCATGTCATTCTCCAGCCACCCTGTCACCTCCCCTCTGACCAATAACTAAATCCCCAATGAAGTCCCATCAACCTCCAACCTCAAAGCCAGCCCCTTTCTAGAACAATCGAGCAACACTTGCTGAGATAGGTGGAACACATATAACCCAGGCAGAAAACAAGGAGGGACAGGTGTCCACTCTAAACCACGGCCGCCGGGAGAAGATGGGCTTCCCCCACACTGAGCGAGCCTCCCAGTGCCTTTGTGACTCAGTGATGGAGAAGGTGGAGGAGGAAATTGGGACAACAGCAGAGTCTTCCCTTAGACCCCCCAGATCCAAGGTTTTGAGCAACAGCAGGCATCTTTGTCCTGGGATAAAAACCCCAGCGGCCTTGAAAAATTCTCTGCTGCCATAGTAAAAATAGGGCATCCTCTAAGGCAGTTCTTGATCCCACAGATTGTGTTCCACTCCCTAGAACGGTGCGGATTATAAGAGTCATAAACAAATAGAGCCTTTCCCATCAGGCTGGTCACGTAAGCTCTCTTTCTACCATGAACCCGATTTGAAGATAATCAAATGTGCTGGAAGTTTGTGAGCAAAGCAACTCAGCCACGCTGGAGCTCTCTCGACTTGGGGTGAGAGAAGTAAAGTGTAATAAGATGAGTTTAAAGAGGAATCCACTGACTTCTACCATCAGTTGGTAATTAAGGAAAACCTTTTCCTCCTGGGAAAGATGGTGCTTCGCCCAGCCATGCCTCTGGTAACGGGGGGCAGGAGGAAACCGCAGGGATTAAGCTCCCCTGGGGGAAATGGAAAACGCTGGTTTCACCGAGGACTGGGAGCCCTGGAGCTCGGCTCTGAGCAGTCCTCCTTCAGCTTTAGCTTTACCAGAGCCAGACTTCGGAGACGTAGCACATTGTGTGAGGCCAGGCTCAAAGCCTAGCAAACCAAGCAAACCACAAATCAGTGGTGGCCCTGCACTTGGCTTTGGATGACTCTCCTATACTCAGCATTGCATTAATGATCCTTTCCACTCTGACTTGCAGTTTTCCTGGCCATGAGCTGGTCTGGCTGAACACCCAGGGCAGGGCCCAGCAGCGGCTGGAGGGGAGGGCTGATGAGGGGGGCGGATCCCAGCCAGGCTGCTGCCCTCTCAGTTCCAGGCTCTGCCCTGGCCCGGGCCTTGCCTCCGCTTGCGGGTGACACAAGAAGGGAGAAGAGCAGGAAGGGAGGTGCCGGGTGGAGCCTGCATAACGTGAAGCATGGTGTGGGTGGTGGCTTTGTCTAACTAGTCAAGAGTGCCAGTGGGATGGGCAAGAGGCCTTAGTGTCCTGTAAGAAGGAAACCATCTCTCTGAAAATACTTTGAAAAGGGCCCCCTCTGCTTTCTGTGATGCGCGGGGGGAAAAGAGGGGGCCGCGGGAATGGTTCACCTTAAAGGAGAAACGCCTAGAGCTTTCCTCCCCTCCCTACCACCAATGACCCACCTCCCCGCCCCCTGTCCATATTAATCATGGGTGGAGGCTCTGTAGCTCGGCCTTTCTCAGAAACGGCCTTCCTCGCGGCCACTTCCAGTCAACTAGCTGCCTAGGAACCGCAGTATCCACCCTCCAACCTCCACCGTGGCCCAGAACAGTGGAGGGTCGCCCCATCCTTCCTACACGAGACTACAAACCCCGGAGAACCATGCGCGATAGGCGAGGCCAACTCCCAGGCTTTGGCAGGTAGCCACTTGGGAGATGTAGTCCGATGATCGGGTTGCGCCCCTAGGTTAGAACGGCAGAGGGGAGAGAGCGACTACAATCCCCACAGTGCTCCACGAGACGGGGAGCGGATGAGGTGGGCGCGGTGGCTTCCGGGGGCGGTAGTCACACGGCAGCTCCAGCTAATTAAAAGCAACGGCAGGGAGTAGCATGGGAGACTACACGTCCCATGGTGCATCGCAAGGAGGCGGTAGCCCAAGCCTTGCAGGCCCCGGCAGAATGACCAGGGCTATGGAAGGAAGTCGTGCTCGCTGCGGACGTGGGGAAGGGGCTTACCGGTGTGTCGAAGGAGAAGGCGCACTCGTCTTTGTGGACCCGGTCTCCAGCCTTAGGGACCCGGATCGTCGGTAATACCGACAGCAGCGCCTCCTCACTCAGCTCCGCCATGACACCGGCAGTAGCTCCTTCACACAGAGCAGCTCCCACCTTTCCTAGTCCCCCTCCCCGTACTCTGGCGGTCCAATGAGCACTACTCGTTAGGTGCATGCGCTCCAGGGAAGACGCGCGAGAATGGCAGTTGGACGGAGCCTGCCTTCCAGTGCTCCGCCCTCTGCCCTACTCTTGACTAAAGCCAATGAAAAGCGCCTCCAATGCAATCGATGGGCCAGAGAACCAATCCCACTCTTCCAGGGCCGAGCAGCGAGGGGAGCCGCAGAGTTGTCGCTGCTCGCACTCCGGGACACCCCACAGTCCCTTCGCGTGCCTCCTGCTCAAGAGCAGAAACTGGCGGTTGTGTAAATCAACCTGAGACTCTCCTGGAGACTTGGTATTTGGGAAGGGCCCACCTCAGGAGGCGGAGTGTGAGAGGGCTAGAGGCCAGTGATTGATGACGCCGTCAGCCTCTACGGATCACTATTTCTCTCGCCTCAAAAAAACATAACTCTGTCTCCGCCTGAATCTGTACATAATGGCATAATAATTCTTTTTTTCTATTTTTTTTAATAAAATATTTTGGCTTTTGAAGCTGAAGGTCTCAAAAGCGAGGACTGGCACTCCTTAAAGTTTCACGATGGACAACTTGCAGCCTAATAGGAACAAAATTCTCCTTCTATCCAGGAAGCGTCACACCTTGGGGAACCAAGCCTCTGCCCATTGACCCCGTGGTTCCCATGATAGACGTCCTCTCAGCCCAATGGCTTCCCTCCCTGTAGGCGGATCGGGTTGCGCCCCTAGCTTAGAACGGCAGAGGGGAGAGAGCGACTACAATCCCCACAGTGCTCCACGAGACGGGGAGCGGGCCTATCGGAGCCTGTGTGTCCGCTCAGCCAATAGGGTCACGGCAGGGGGCGTGGCGGGAGGTTTGAAACTTAGCTTCGGGAGTTGAGGCTGCAGCTGCCGTGCACTGAAGTGGAGTTGGGGCCCGGTAAGTGATTTAAATAAATGAGTGAGTTAGAAGGCCCCGCAGGCCCGGAATGAGCCGCCTTGTCAGCTGCACCGTCCCCACTTTTTAAAAAATATATATTTTATTGATTTTTTACAGAGAGGAAGGGAGAGAGATAGAGAGTTAGAACATTTTGCTCCAGCGGCCAGGAGGTTCCTTAGCTGGGATCTGGGAAGATCGGGTGGTGTGGAGTCCGAGGTCGAACATGGTCGCGGTGGGGGCTGAGACCGGAGTCACTTCTCACAGGCATACCCTCCTCGCCCCTGGCCGGGCCCTGCCCCACCCTCCTCCTCCGATTGAGATGGGCTCAGCCAAGAGCGTTCTAGTCACTCCGGCGCGGCCTCCGCCGCACAACAAGCTTCTGGCTCGAGTGGCGGACCCGCGTTCACCTAGTGCCGG